ATGGAGAGCAGTACCATTGAAAAGCTTTTTTTGTATGGAAAGCTTGGTTTGGAGCCTTGTGTTTTGACCCAGGCTTCCTTAGAAAGCCAGAAGCAGACTCTTGGCAAAACCCCTTTTATTTAAACGACTGTGAACTCCTTTCATTCAGAGTCCACAAAGGTTAGCAAACAGTCTTTCCAAGGAATGTTTATCAACATGAACCTTATCTCGTTTGGAGAGCTGCCAGATAACTAGTTTCCAAATGCAGGGCATGGCAAACAGAACTTTCCACTCTTGAAACGACCAAATGAACATTGTTTCCTGCAAAAGCCCCCTCCCCATTCGCTCCTCTTTTGTTTCCTATGGGAGGGGGCCAATCACCTCCAAGGTGTGGCTTTACTCCTAACTCAACCCTGCTTTCTTAGTTGTTCTTGTCTTCCACAGCTCTGCCTGTGCACACACTGGGAACAGGCTGCAGCTGTTCTTCTGCCTCACTGCTGTCTAGCTCACTCTCTGCCTTCGACGCAGAGCCCTTGTCTGAGCTTTCCTCAGCCCCCAGGACTGGCCCATGTTCCTCCCCAACCTCCTCACTGTCTGACTCTGCAGCCAGCTTCACTGGCCTCCGACGGGCCACAACACTTTGCTGGTGACAAGGGCACTGCTGAAACAGTAACGCAGCAAATCGGTTAAGGCAACAAATCTGAAGTGAGGATGCAGCAAATCGGTTAAGGCGACAAATCTGAAGTGAGGATTTTCTCAGCGCAACAAGGGGAAACTGAGGAACACTGGACAGCAGGGCTTGGGGATGGTTACTCCCTAGCCTAAGCAAAGCACCTTCTGCATGGCTTGGTTCTACCCCCTGCCCACCCCCAGCCCTGCCCAGGTGAGCATTGGAGGATACCTGGTGCCCGGGTGTAGCCATGGCCATGCCTTGGCCTCAGGCAGGCTCTCCCGGGGAGTGTGAGGAACCGGTTTCTGGGATGCCATTGCCGGGGACTTCCTAGCAGATTCTTGGGCCTCCGATAGCCCTGGCAGCTGGGTGGTGGCAGAGAAGGACAGCTGCCTTTGTGGCTCCGCTGTGCCACACCGTTAGATGCTGTCGGTTCCGGAAGGAGACGCGGAGAAAAGGGAGCAGCTCACGGACAAACACACACAGATGACTCCTCGTTCTCCTGCCAGGGAAAAGGAAGTTGGTTTGTGCTTTTGAAGAGCTTGGTTGTCAAAACACGAAACGCTCCCCAGGGGTTTCTCCTGCCACCGTCTGCGGCAGGTGCCCTTGTTAGCTTTTTTTGCAGTGGATGGGGAAAACAAGGGCGTAGAAGCTCCCCCTCTCGGTGGGTCCCGGGCAGCACAGTACAGTGGTCGCTGCCCCTTGTATCTGTGAAGGTTGGCCTGCCAAATCATTGGAAGAGAGCAGGAAAGGGAATTCCTTAAATTGAGGCAGATACGCACAACCCACCAAAGCTCTCTCTTTCGAACGCCTTTTTTCTCTTCGGTTCGGCGGTGGGTAGCTTTTCTTGAAAACTCCCTCCCACTGGGTCCTCTGCCCTGTAATTACCCACACCTCCCCGAAGGCCTTGCGGGAGGAAGATTGGAAGAGTTTTCCTCTGTGGGGAGGGGAGGAGAGGGCAGAAGGAGGGAGGCTGCTGTTTGACATCTCCGCAGCTCTGCTATACTGATCAAATGCCCCTCTCCTCCCTCTCCCCCACCCCCGCTGCAAGTATGCCCCTGTGCCCGCACTGGTGTCTCGAGCCATGTGGCCTTTGGGGGGACAAGAGCCAAGGGGTTACCCAACTAGAAGAAATAGAAGAGAAGAGAGAATAGAACAGAGTAGAAGAGAATAGAGTAGAAGAGAAGAGAAGAGAGAATAGAGTAGAAGAGAAGAGAAGAGAGAATAAAAGAGTAGAGTAGAAGGGAAGAGAGTAGAAGAGAAGAGAGAATAGAATAGAGTAGAGTAAAGTAGAGTAGAAGAGAATAGAATAGAAAATAGAATAGAACAGGAGAGAATAAAATAAGAGAGACCAATAAGATCGCACAGATTAGGCTTCCTCCGGGTTCCATCTGCCAGTCAATGTTGGCTGGCGACTCCCCGGGGAAGGGCCTTCTCTGTAGCTGCTCTGGCCCTATGGAATGATCACCCCGTAGAGATCCGGACCCTTGCTACTCTTCCGGCCTTCTGTAAAGTGATTAAGACCTGGCTGTTCCGGCAGGCCTGGGGCTGTTGATTTTATCCAGCCCCACTCTAAGCTGTGTGCATGTTGTGTAATTTTAATGTTTGTTTTCTTTTTAATTTTTATATATGTCTACCCCGTTTTTATCTGTAAGCCACCTAGAGTCTCTAGGGAGTGGGTGGCATACAAACGCTAATAAACCTCGAAACCTTGAAACCTTGAAAATAGAGTAGAGTAGAAGAGAAGGGAAGAGAATAGAGAATAGAATAGAATAGAGTAGAATAGAATAGGGAATAGAATAGAATAGAATAGAGAATAGAATAGAAAGAGTAGAGTAGAAGAGAACAGAGAATAGAAGAGTAGAATAGAATAGAATAGAAAATAGAGTAAAACAGAAGAGAGAATAAAATAGAGTAGAGTAGAATGGAAGGGAAGAGAATAGAGAATAGAATATAGAATAGAATAGAAAATAGAATAGAGTAGAAGAGAAAAGAATAGAGAATAGAATAGAACAGAAGAGAGAATAAAATAGAAGAGAGAAGGGAAGAGAATAGAGGATAGAATAGAGGATAGAATAGAGAATAGAATAGAGAATAGAATAGAGTAGAAGAATAGTATAGAATAGAGTAGAAGAGAAAAGAATAGAGAATAGAAAAGAATAGAAGAGAGAATAGAGTAGAAGAGAAGGGAAGAGAATAGAGAAGAGGAGAGAATAGAATAGAATAGAGAAGAGAATAGAGTAGAAGAGAATAAAATAGAGTAGAAGAGAAGGGAAGAAGAGTGAAGAGAAAAGAAGAGAGAATAGAATAGCATAGAATAGAATAGAGCAGAGCAGTGATGGCAAAACTTTTTCTTACGCCGTGCCAAAATTGCACGTGTGTGTGTGCATGCCCACTCAATCCTCCCCATCATCCGAAGGCTTTCCTGAAGCCTGGGGAGGCTGAAAAGGAGTTGAAACAATTGATGTCCAGGATGCGAGGGGTCTCTAGATGTTTTCACCCTCTTTTTGATTCGTGCAGTGTACAAGTCCTCCATGGTTCTCAAACTAGAGAAGGGGAAGGGATTTGTTTCTGCCCAGTGGACGCTGGTGGGTCTCCTCTGGGGAAGCACGGTTGGGGATAGGGACATCAAAAAGGTGGGGAGTCCTCGGGGCAGGAGGGCAGTGTCCCCCTGGATCCGAGCCGCAAGATGTCCTCCTCCAAGCAAGCCTCCAAGGTCATTCTGCAGCTGCTTGCAGCCAAGCCTTTGGGAATGCCAGCATTTTGACTTATGCTGTCTCTGTGTCTTCCTGCTTGGAGAGCTGCCTTTCCAAAGGCTTCACCACTGAGCTTTCTCTGCAAATGAAATGGCTTTATTGGCCAAGGGATTCTTGGCAGCCCCCGGTCTGGCCGCCTTCCCCGATTTATAAGTCTGGTTCTTGTTGGCAAAATCAGTCCAAAGCTCCCGACGAAGGAAGATTGTGGCTTCCCGGCAGCTCTGCAGCTACACGGGACTGAAGGCAGCCTCTTCTAAACTGGGTCTTGTGTCGGAAGGAACTGTCTTTTTCCTTCAAACCCGCTCCGGATTGGCATGGAAATAACCAGTAGCTTTGGAGTGGCACGGGAGTATTCAGTCATTGTTGGGCATCCCAGAAGAATAGAATAGAATTCAGAATAGAAATAGAATTCAGAATAGAATAGAATTCAGAATAGAATAGAATTCAGAATAGAATAGAATTCAGAATAGAATAGAATTCAGAATAGAATAGAATTCAGAATA